AAATAGTCATTCTATGAGCTAAAACCAGAACCCTTCTTCGTCGGGTTCCTTAACGGTACGGATACCCCAACTATACCGGTAGTCTTTGATCCCAACAGGGCACCCAGCAGAATATGACTGCTCATATCCGATGCCTCTCTTGACCTCCGCCGTTTCAAAGAACACTAGCTGGCATCTCTCTGCGTATGGCGTTGCAGTCAATGGCACTGTATCCCGTAACCGTTTCTTAGACTCGGACATTCTTGCTCATCGCCCCCCTCCTCCCACCATCACATCTCGTGCGAAGGGGGAACTTGGGGTTTAGCATGTGCCTCGTCATATCTCCCAATGTCTCTCCTTCCCCGTGTTGTCCGGTATCCAACTGCTCGCTGGCCCCCTTTTTGCCACTAGAGCGGCTTACGCGCCCCCGCTCCGCACTCTACGAGCTGTGCGCACTGGCTTGCTTGGGGAAAAGAAAAAGTGTCAAAATATCAGACGTCTGGGGAAAAGTGTGGGAGGCCGGAAGCCGCTCGACTAAAGTAGCGGCGGCAGCCGTGGGATTTTGCTTTCCCCAGACAGCTGAACAGGGAAATACCTCTCCTCGTTGGCTCTATCTTTTTCTCACCATGGCATCATAATTGCTCGCTGGCTGACAGGCAAGCTTGACACATGGCGAAGGCGCATCCCACCATGTCTAGACCATCAAACACGTACTGTCCATCACCAGAGCTGTTCCCACCCCTCATCAAAAACTACGACGAAGGAAGAGGGCTGATCATTTCTCTTCGGACCAAAGCTCCGTTGGCAGGGACTTGACTCGTTATTTCGATCGCGCCGGAGAAAGAGGCTGCTCGCAGTTCGGCTGGGGAAGGAAACCCCATGAACGATCGATGCAAGAGGTTGTCGTCGTCCGTCGTGCACAGCTCCAGTACGGATACACATCCCCCCGCTGTTCTGCTTGCCCCAGGGGGCCCAGAAAAAAAAAAGCAACATGTGAATCTGGGGTAGGCAAATGGTGGGAGGAGTCGCGGTCTGGAGACCAAGAAGTGCGGGATGTGCGGAGGGCCGTACGGTCGCGATTATTCGTCAAGACCGTCGTTCCGGACCAAAGTGCGAGGGAATCACACCGATTTGGCGCTGACCTAAGATGTGATTGATTTCCACCCCAAATCTCCCGAAGTCTCGACTCGCATCTCGCCCTTTCTCGGTGCTTTTCTCACGGCATCGGCATTCAAGGTCTGGATGGGGGGGGCAAGTTGATTGGGTTGACACACCGGGCGACCACAATTTCCATCACCCGCCCCCTCTTCCGGCCGGTGTGCAAGTTTGGGGCTTGTTCGATAGTCAACCACATGCGGTGACATACATATTATTGCCTACAATTTACGGACACATACCTTGAGGCGAAGAGGCTAGCCCGTGCAAGCCGTGCTAGCATACGGCTCCCTTATCCTCCGCATTGCCTGCCCGTAGCCCATCGATCCATACCTTACGTTGGACCCGATGCAACCCGCGCCTCCGGGTCTCCCAATGTCTCGGTTTCGCAGCTCTGGATTGGTTTGTTTTGGGCTCATCACTTATCACAGGTAGCCAGGACGAGAACAAGTTTATTACTGATGGTGAGAAAAAACGTAACGGCGTCGACGGTGATCGGCAGAGTCAGGGTCATGGTTTCTCTTTAGGGTGACATGCAACTGGAGAAAAGGCCCGGTTTGCTAGAATAATGTGCAGTGCACATCATAACGTTAGGTGGTAATGGAGTGAGGAGGAGGGTTCGTGATCTTTAGGGGGAAGCGAAGATCCAACGCCTAGCTTCGCACGCTTCGCACGCTTCGCACGCTTCGCAGACCGATCAACTCTTATCACCTCGCATCGTATGCGCAATCGCGGCGCAGCCTCTGGGATGTCTTCTGTCTTTTTCAAGGTTTCTTCCGCCTTGATGAGTCCTGTCCTGCGGAGACTTGATGGCTAGGTGGGTGGTTGCGTGGTTTGCAGGCTCAGAGCCGCCCCCGGCGGGGGGAGGGGGGGGGGGGGGGGCACATCTCGCACGCTTTCTCACGCTTAGACCAGTAGAGTGTGCGAGTTTGGTTCGGGAAAGTGTGGGTTTGGGTTGGTGGTGTGTGGGCTGTTGTGGTCCTACCATGCTTTGCTGCTGCACGTCATCCCATTTCTCGCCGATGGTCCTGGTCTGGGGTGACTGAAGAGAAGGGCGCGATGGTGACTTTGAATAGCAGACCCTTTCTTTGACATCGAACTAATTTACATGGCGGCAGAGGTGCGTGATTTCTTGGGGTCACTTGGCTGGATGTCTAAGCCATGGGGTTTACTTTAGCTGGTGTGCATCGAAACGATGAAGATGACTTTCCCTTCCCCCGTCCTCAGCAGTGGTTACTTAGACCCTGCATGTCCTCCCTTTCGGAGCGGATTTAATCGTGGTGGATCAAGTTCGAGCAGGAGGGGAGGGCCACTGGGGGTGATGGAATGTCAGATTGTCACTGCAGAAATTCCAACAGTGGTGGTGTCCACCGTTCCCCCGTTCCTCCTCCCCCCTCTCTCACTTTGAGTTACACGAGAAGGGTAGGACGAGGGAAAATGATTTCTTTGGGGGGAGATGATGAAAGGGAGAAGATAATGATGAGGAAAGTGTGTGTTTCTGTTGAGGGACGAAGGACAGGCAACACATGTGATGGTATGACGAGCTCAGGATACCGGTAGAGAAGCCCGGGTGCGATACGAAAAAAGCCACACCTTCACCTTTGTTTGTCACTGCGGATGTCTCGGTCGCCTGCCTCGAGGTCTCGGTGTGCTTGGTAGTCATTCTTTGGTCGGAGGATAGGCAGGTGGCAGGTAGACTCACATGTCGAAGGGGGTACGAACACCCCGCCCGCCCATATCGTTCTTCCTATCTAGGCATCCAGCTGCCTCACGACAGGAGCCTACACAGACGTGGCAGGTCCACGAATTAACTACCTACTGTGGTGGGCGATAACGGAAGAGAGCCCGAGGAAGTGGTTGACGCGGAGCGAGTCTAGTCGTTGCGTCCTGCAGCCACACCTTTTTTTTTTATTTTTTTTACACACTTCATGTCTACCTACATTTGGTTCTACTGCTGCAGACGTACAGTTGATTCATGTTTCCCCGCCATGTCAAGTTGATCTAGGTAGGTTTTTTTTTGGGAGGGGGTCCCATGGGGTTAGTGGTTCAATAGGGTAGGCACGCTCCTATCTATCCTCTTTCTCCATCTCTTTGTTTTCGTTGTTTCGTTGTTTTCGACGGCTTTTGAAGGGTGATGTCACTTACATCAGCGTGTGATCAGCGTGTGACGAAACGTTCCCTCCCTTTAGGTTCTTGGTGCGTGTGTGCCTAGCTAGATCCAGATTGGAGGGGGCAGGCGCATAGGAGGCGTACACGAGGAATTCCAGGTTTTGGGAGAACGGATACATGTGAGAGAAGTGGCTTGTTTTTTTCAGGGTCTTGTTCTTCAGTCACGTCAGATAACGTATGCCTATGTAGGTAGGTAGTAGGTCACCGTGTGGCTGGTCACCTCTTGGAGAAACGAACACGAAAACGTTCACTACTACTTTAGCTAGGTAAACCACGGCTGTGGCGAGTGAGACTTATGAACATACGAAACCCTGAACTTGGGACTGCCGCACTGCCAATATCTTCTTGTTGGAGGTGGAGGCGTGACTTGATTGGACATGTCTCATTCACTAGCCACCAGCCGCCCATCTCTCCCACACTTCCTTCCCGCCTCGTGAGCCCTTTTCTTATCGCTAGGTTGAAACTCGTGATGCTCGATTAGAACCCTGGGGGAAAGTGCAGTGAACATCGGGGACGGGGAGGTGGGCGGTGATAAGGGGGATTGTGGCACTGTGGCACACCCACTATCAAGCCGTCGCGGTTGCCAATCTTCTTCAAGGGTTTTTTTGTTACACCGTCGGAAACCGCTTCGGTAGTGAGGCGGGAAAAACGCGACCAGGGTGTGTATATCTCAGTTGGAGGTGACTTTAAATGTGGTTTTGTTATCTTTGTCTCGTATTTGGGGTTTACATCGGGGCTCTTTTGGGGATGTGAGGTCTTGGAGTGTTGAAGATTTGAGACTCATCTCTGGCTTAATTGGGTGGGATAGTATTTGGAAGAAGAGATAGTTGTGGGTGAGCTTTTTGGTTGTTGTCTCATTGCTTTGCTGTCGATCACATTTTGATATTGAGGCGGTGAGAAGGGTGATTGCGGAGTGAGATAGTTGATGGGACGTTGCAGATGACAGAGATGCTGGGAAGAAGAGTACTGAACTCACGGACCGGCTGGGATGTTTTGCGTGTCTCATGATTCACTTTTTGTTGTTGAGGGGATGCTGTTAGTGGGCTGTCGGTGATGTTTAGATGATACGGCGGAAGATGCGCTGGGTGTTTCCATCTTGATCTCCCTCGGCCTCGTCTCCCTGGTAAGCCCTCGTCTCCATATGACATACTTGACTGAGATTGAGAGGGAGAGAAGAGAAAACAAGTCTTCTCAGTATGAATAAGGGCGATCTCCGGTGCGACTCATGAGCCTCCGACTCGATCATCACGATATAGCGATATAGCGACAACAAGGGTCAGGAGAGGCAAACAGCAACCGATTTATTGATACTATGGGCTTCTTTTATCTAGAGAGGACTAAAACAAGTACCAAACCGCTTTCAAGTGCTGTCATTCCTGCCTTGGTGCTATAAGGAGAGCACGAAGAGGCAGAGCAGATGAATCGACGGGCGCTGGACGGCTATGAGAATGCGCTAGATAACGAGTATCAATCCACCTCAACTTCCTTTGCCCAGCTTGCCTCTTGGAGAAGTTTATGAACTGTTCCGACACACACGGACGGCATCTTGTAGATTGCTGGTATGTCGCGGCTGCCTCCCTAAAACCAGCCCATGGGTAAGTTCTAAGACTCATCCTGAGGAGGTCGTATTCGTCAATATGACAAACGCCCACACATCAATCTTGTTCCCATACCAGCCACCAAAAGTAGACGAAAGTGCGCTAATAGGGTTTATTGGTTGTTTGTTTTGCTACCTTGAATGAGTGTGTGTGCTTGTCGATATGGTGAAATGAGTGCTTAGCGCTTCACTGATATTCCTTGTTTGTCAATTTCTTCCCTTACTCTCCCGACCTCGATCTTGCCATTGAAAGTTATCGCCTTTACCCTCAAACATCCTTCCCCAGTCGGAAATAGTCAAGAAGTGTGTGGAAAGCCAGTAATGAGAAAATCACAGAACTTTCCGCCTCGATTGAACGACTCAAAAGAAAAGAAGCCGCATAAAGTAGACACCCAAGACAGATAATGGAAGACTGGTGACCGGTACGTTTTACTCATTGTCATCCCTCACTCAATGAGCAGCCAAACTGAGCATCTTTAGAAGCTGGTCAAGCTGGGCAGAGCTTCGGCCGTTGCTACGGTAGGTATCATGATCCCCATTCGACTCTGGGTTTCCGCTCCGATCTTCGTTGTCATACGAGTTCTCATGCCCGTTCGATCCATTCACTTGGCTTTCGAACATGTTGGCATCGATTGTCTTGGGGTCTTTGGCCACGGCAGGGTGAGCATCAACGGCGGTTGCCCAATCCACTCGAACTTCAGCGACTGGGCGGTTTGACTCGACCTTGAATGGTGCCGGATTCGAGGCTGCTGCCTTTATGGGCGTAATGGTGTAGCCCAGCTGCCGCATTGAGTCCAGGAGAGACTGGACGACGCCAGCCCTCTGCCGGATATCGTCAATCGTCCACGTGAGCTTGCAACTGTATATATTGTTCTGGACTTCCAAAAGATTCTGCAAGAGCTCTCTAGGATTTTGGAATGCTTCGTTAGCAAAAGGTCATCTCATGATTACACCACGCTTTGATGATGAGTTGGCGCGCAGGGAGACAGGCCGATGCTACTCACAGAGCCTTCCTCAGCGTTTGATCCTGCGAAGGCTGTAAACCGGGCCCGGTTTGGTTGCGTTCAGCGATAGCGAGCTCAGACATTGCCTTTGCGGTGCCGTATGTGATATCCCAGCCGCCACCTTGCACCTGCTTAATGAAAGCGGCGTTAAGCCCCGTTCCAGTAAAGTCGATTTTGGCGGCCTGGTTTGAACGAAGGGTAACATCGATCACCGTTCCCTGTACGGCTGAAAACTGCGCAATGTAGAACTTGACGATAGGTGTGATAGTGGCAACGGTGTTGGGCTGGGCCGCGAACTGGATGTTGGTTAGCCTGCGAGGACAAGTTCTTCATAAGCGCTAATCTCTGATCGGAGTGGCTTACCGTCGCAACAGGAATCCGCTGGCCATTGCCGTCAACAGAGCCTAGGCCGCAGATGAAATTTTGAGCCGGCTGAAAGGCATTTGGTTTGGAGCTAATCTGAAAAGTTCCAGGAGGTGCCTCAAAAGTGGTGGGAGGTGCGAAGGTGGGGTTGCCCCCTTGGTCGATCAAGTTGAAAGTGCCTTGCAAATCCAGTCAGACAACGTCCAAATGAGGATATTTCAGGGTGAGCATACTTCCGGGAGAGTCCGTGGTGCCAAGTTGAGCGAGCTTTGAGTTGCTGATCCTGGTCACCACATTTTGGCCAGGCAGCGTCTTGACATCGACTGGAGAGACACTGGTCCCTTCATGAATGATTTCCTAGTCAGTATATGTGACAATACACCATGCTCAGGCCAGGAAGAGGGTTCTCACAGGCATAGTAAGTCAGGGTAACATCAATTTCAAAGGTGGTGTCGCCTTTATCGTTGGGAACGAACTGGCTAGCGATGACATTCCCATAGACTGGGCTTTCACCACTGTTCACGACTTCGGGCAGAGCACTGAAGAACGCGAAATTGTTGTTGAAGCCAGAATAGTTGGTGAAGTAAATCTTGAAGGTGGTGGCCATGTTGGTTGTTGGTCGATAGATGGAGTTGTGAAATGGAGTCAGATATGGTGTGGTATTCAGCTCAGAGTAACTGCTTGTGGCATGAACAAAAGTCGTAGATAGAAGAAGGGCTCTCAGGCTCATCTATATACACCTCAGCTAGGTAGGAGGTAATGATCGTCCCGGGATGAGATTTCCAAGCAGCTTTGCGTCTACGCAACCTCCACCTGCAAAGCTCCAACCTGCTCCCGGACATTCCAGTCCAACATCATTAGTGTAAAACTCATGATATGACTTTTACGAGCCAGACTGATCGAAATATTCTGCAAACGTAGCTGTCTCGGGAAGATCACAGGAATACAGCGCAAGTTCTGCTGGTAAAAGCCATGTCTCCTTCCGAAAGCGTGTATTTCGACACCGAGCAACGAATGCATTTCTGCTGAAGGGTTTGCCACTTTTTAGAGGCGCCTCCAGCACCCCCGTTGCTGAGATATCTGGCGGCACTTGGACACAGAGGGGGAGCACTGCGCAGCGTCGAAGAGGTACAAACTCTCCGGCCTCTGTTGCCCAACACCTTATTATAATCCTCTTAGTAGAATCGTGTTGTTCGTCTCCATGGGCCCTACAAGTACCTGGGAATTTAAGTAGCGTTTCTCTATTGCTTCACAGGCCGTTGAGGCCAGTACGCATTGAGTACATGGATGCACTGCGCAAGTTCCACCGCCTCCGACACAGCGTAAGTGCTTGTTGTTCTTGCTGAAGTGATAAAAGTGAAGAACGTTGACTTAGTTGTCGTAGTATGACAGGCGTTAATTGCTACCCGTAATTAACGGCGTCGTTTCTGTTGTGGCTTAAGTTGCGCCATATCACAGGACTAGACTCGTGCCATGTCTTACCTGTTCAGCCCCAACCCCAGGTGCCGGTGCGGGCCGTGACCACTGATCACTGAACCAAGCCTCTTTTTGTGGCAGCTAAGTTGATTGCGCTGTGGTCTCTTTCCTTGGCTGATTTGTGGTGTGATTGCAGAACTCTTTGTCGACGGAGTTCTGGTGTAACGCGAGAAACCCAGCCAAGTTGCTGACTTCACTCTCATCGAAAGAGGAAAACTTCCCGGTCCAGTCAAAATCCTGAAAAGCGACAAGTGGAGGTCGCGTACTTGGCCACCGCACAGCTAGCTAGAGGCAGCACTACAAGTTACGTTGGCTGAGGAGTGGCTAGCTGAGAATCACCACCTTTACACCAGTTTCCAAAACCTTGATAAATGCCGGAGGTCGTTCCCCGCAGTCAGCCAGCCACACCAGAACGATTTAAGCAGCCAGAATTCATGATAAGCCATGCAATGCTCGGGTAAAGGGAGATTTTCGTGACTGGATTATTTCCGTTTGCGTATAGAATGCAAGCACCAGGTTGTGCCGCTGCTATACTATCTGGTATCCAACACATTGTTAGTACATGTATCTAAAATGACTGACGACAAGCTTAGTCCCAAATCTGGTTCGTTGCAGAAGTTTTGTTGTTAGACCCCAAGTCCAGAAGTGCCAGTTTTTGGAGATGGAAGCCTGCACACCTAGAAAGATGAAGAACCTGAGAAAGGTCTGAACGTACCTCAAGGATTATTGAAAAGGGCCTTGGTGGAGGAGTTACTTCAAACAAGACATTCGAAATGATCAAGAGGTGAGTAACAATGATGAGTGATGCTGTTAATTACGGCTTGCTAGGCAAGATACCTTATGTTGCTGTGGGGTCTCCGTCCTGGATGTAGTCATATTTTACACTGCTTTTTCTACCCCGGTCTCCACCTCACAACTTCTGTATCGTACAGGACTATGATTTTCTAAGGGGAATCAACTCACACCTGAGATAGGTTTAGTTTCCACTTCCCAGCAAAGAGTTCAACCACTCTCCCACGGTCGACGCTTCGCTTCGGTCTAAACCCTCTGCACGGAGACGCTGTGCCCAGTCTGCGACCTCCCAGATCTGGGTGTTGGTTATGGAACCCGAGAGCTTGGTGGTTGTTTCTTGACCGCAGGACAAACCGGATAGAGAGAAACTTTGGATGAGGCCGTGGCGGGCTTCGAATGAGAGGTTAAACTGGACCGAGTTAGTGGGCTATGCTGGGTAGATGGGCTATATGTCCGAGCATCAAAGTGGTAAACCAGGCTTCAATGGAACGAAAGGGCGAAAGACTGCGAATGAAGAGATCTACTCACGTTCCCTGGCAGGCGAGGACGTTCCCGCGTATCGTCTTCCGAGGGATGTGTAGAGAAAGTGAACAGAGGGGTTTGGCCAAATGTCCATTCCCGAGACTATGAAGGCTCGTTAGTTTCCGACCATTTACGCTGATTCTGATGATCCTGAAGCAGATTTGAGAGAACCTGCAGTAACGCTGAACGAGAAGAGAAGGCAATCGCAACTTACCTGCAACTCTCTCATTCCTTTCTTAACCTTTTCTTCTCCGAGGGCATCCCTCTCACCCAGTTCCCCCCGGACGGTGAAGTCCCCGTACATTTTTCCAAACTCACCAATCACCGCGTCCTCAAACGTCGACGTGTCGGCGATGCCGACGTTGCGGATGCGCGAGCGCACGCTTTCAACGCCGCGGGCCTTGATGAAGGGTTCCGCGGGGGACCGCAGGAAGCTACCGATGCGCGGGAGGTTCGGAGACGAGAGAAGACATGTACCGTGGTGCAAGGAGCGGAGGCGGGTGAGCTTATACGCCGAGCCGGAGATCTTAAACGTGTTCTCCGCGTTGACTTTGGGCTTGCTGCATGATGCCCCTGCGGAGGCGGTGGTGGCATCTGTGGCCGCTGGTGCTGTGGCGGAAGTTCCTGAAGAGGAAGGCGGAGGGGTAAGAGTCATGACAATATCGTGGCGGCAGTTGACGGCGGCGCCCTCGACGCCGAGGGAGCGGAGGGCGCGGACGACCATCTCCGCGTGGGTATCGCGGTCAAAGTTTGCGGGCGGGCATATGACGGAGTAATTTACGTTGCCCTCGTCGTGGAACACCGTTCCGCCTCCGCTGCGGCGGCGGACGAGGTCGATGGCATCTGATGAGGGGAGAGACTTTAGGAGAGGGAGGTTAACCTCGAGCCATGGGTTCTGGTTGCGGCCGATGACGATGCTGGGACGATTTGTGTACAGGAAGAGAACGGTTGAGTCGGACGGGGTTGTTTGGAGGAGGTGGTGCTCGATGGACAGGTTTACGTAGGGGTCGCGGGAGTTTGAGGTGTAGACTTGTGTCTTTGATTTTGGTGAGGCTGCGAGGGCGGAGACGAGGCGGGTCTGGCGGTTGAAATGGTGTATTGAGGGTCTGATGCGGAACAGAGTCCCGGGGATGCTGCGTAGTGGCAGCATTGTGAGGGTTTGCGAGATACTAAGGTGAGACGAGTTTGGTGATCCTTTCAAGTTGACATTTTCATCAGCCCCTGCAAATAGACTTCTGAGTTCAGGCTGTGAATCGAAGGACGAGAGGGTATGTTTGTGATATATGATGGAGGAAACAATAGGCCGAATTCAGATGAGTCAATTGATAGGTAAGAGAAGTTGATGTGAGGCAGCTATGTCTGCTGTTTGGTTGCGGTATGGGTGAGTGAGCAAGGCGTTGAGATGAGGTTCTCAGTAAATTGCATCTAACAGAGTCCACTATCTGATTAGGCCACCCACCCCTGTATGGACAAGACCCACCTGATTAACGGGGCAATTCAACTACATCATACAATTCAACTACATCATAGAAAACCCCTCCACCCCGCAGACGGCCGATTTCTTTCTGTGATTGACTCACCGAACATCGGCCCAGATAATTTTCCAAACTTACATACCGCTCCTCTCCTCTCCTCTTCCACACCTCCAAATTACCCCCTTTATAGCGGCAGCAAAAATGTCAACGTTCGGTTCTTACTTCAAGGTCACGACGTGCGTCGCCTCTTCCGACCCAATTCCTCCTGTCCTTCTTTCGTGGCCAATTTTGGACTAACATGAAATGCCCCCTTGCGCAGCTACGGCGAGTCCCACGGCAAGTCCGTCGGCGTCATTGTCGATGGCGTCCCGCCCGGCATGGCTCTGACCGAGTCCGATATCCAACCCCAGTTGAACCGCCGCCGTCCCGGCCAGAGCTCAATTACGACGCCTAGAAACGAGAAAGACCGCGTCGTCATTCAGAGCGGTACCGAGTTTGGTGTCACTCTCGGCACCCCGATTGGCATGCTCGTCCAGAACGAGGACCAGCGTCCCAAGGACTACGGCAACTCCACGATGGACATGTTCCCCCGCCCGTCCCACGCCGATTGGACCTACCTCGAGAAGTACGGCGTCAAGGCCTCCTCCGGTGGTGGCCGTTCCTCGGCCCGCGAGACAATTGCCCGCGTCGCCGCTGGTGCCCTCGCCGAGAAGTACCTGCGCGAAGCCTATGGCACCGAGATCACCGCCTTCACCACAAGCGTCGGCAACTGCCACCTCTTCCCTCCGACCCCCGAGCACCCGAGCCCCTCGACGAACCCCGCCTTCCTCTCGCTCCTCAACACCGTCGACCGCAACACCGTCGACCAGTTCCTCCCCGTCCGCTGCCCGCACGAGGAGACCAACGAGAAGATGATAGACCTCATCAGCGACTACAAGGCGCGCGACGACAGCATCGGCGGCACCGTTACCTGCGTCATCCGCAACCCGCCCTCGGCGCTCGGCGAGCCTTGCTTCGACAAGCTCGAGGCCCAGCTCGCGCACGCCATGCTCAGCATCCCCGCCACAAAGGGCTTCGAGATCGGCTCGGGCTTCGGCGGCTGCGAGATCCCCGGCTCGCAGCACAATGACGCCTTCATCAAGGCGCCCGAGTCGGAGCTCGAGGCCGACGCCCAGCGCATGGGTATCCCCCGGTCCAAGCTGACCACCAAGACCAACTACTCTGGCGGTATCCAGGGCGGCATCTCCAACGGCGCGCCTATTTACTTCCGCGTTGCCTTCAAGCCCCCCGCAACCATTGGCGTGGACCAGACGACGGCGACTTACGATGGCTCAGAGGAGGGTGTGCTGGCCGCAAAGGGCCGCCACGACCCTTGCGTCGTCCCCCGCGCGATCCCCATCGTCGAGGGTATGGCCGCGATTGTTCTTCTGGATGCACTTATGGCGCAGCACGCGAGACAAATGACAAAGAGCCTTCTGCCTCCCATCAAGAGGGAGAATGGCAAGGCGTAAGCTGGTGGGAAACTGGGATGTGTTGTAAATAACGGGCATTAAAAGCAAATTCATGATGAGATTCCCCTTTTTTCGGTTGTCAGCGAACAGTCTCTTGCTTCTCTGTAAGGCGAACTTTGGACCAAGTGAAGTTACATGTTGATTAAATGAGTGACTCATCTCACAACTCCTCCGATGTCTGTTGATGCTTAGCCGCCTTCACCAGGTGGAACTTCTCTTGTCGGCCGTAGACCCATTGCCAACCTTCTTCCTCGCCAGCCCAGTACACATCCTCCTCCAGGGCAAACCAAAGGGTCGTATTCCTTGAGGGGACGTAGTGCTCTACGAGCAGCTCCACGCTGAACCACATATTGCGGATAGCAGCCAGTTCGCCAGCCGCCGAGACGTACTCCTGCATGTTGGTCATTCCTGTGCAAAGTCAATACCGCGCCAGAGAAAGAGAGGGCTTCGACGGAAACGTCTCGTCTTTTTCCTTACCGATAAGAGGACCAGCTGAGTGTCCCCAGTCCCCAATTGGATGCGAGTAGACTCGCCCCTGGATACCCTCCGTGTGCATCTCACCTAGCGACGCCTTGAGCATCTCATTACCCGTCTTGCCGACAGCAATGTTTCGCCGGACGATATCTTGGAGCTTGTTGCCCTTCTTCAAGCCGTCCTTCAAGTCCTGAGGCACGTCGGTCTCGTCCGGGCGCAGAACGTATCCCAGGTGCTGTGTATCCGTGTTCAATCCCATGACCGTCAACCCAAAATCAACATGAAGCATGTCCCCATACTGAATGATCCTCCCTCCAGCAGTCCCTGCAGCACCCTCATCCACAGTCGTTTCCATCCTCATAGTCCAAGGCAGCGCCTCATCGACCACACTAACACTCGGCTGAAACCACGTCGAGAAGTTGTGCGCCAAAATCTCCTCCCGGAACCACCACTCCAAATCCCCCGTCGTCGTCTTCCCCGGAACTACAACCGCCTCGCTGAACCCCTTGGCAATCATCGCCCACGCCGTCTCCATGATGTCCCGGTACCGCGGCAGCTTCGAGCTGGGTTGGGCCGAGATGAACTCGACGGCGACCTCGGGCTTGACGACCATGCGCGAAGTCCACTCGCCTCCGAACCCGGCAGCCATGGCCTGGTACTCGCCCGCGTGCAGGCCGCTGGCGAAGGCGATTTCCGGGTGGGCGTTGACGGCGATGGTGGCTGGGTTGGCGGCCTCAAGCTGAGTTTTGAGCGTCGCCCAGACATCTCCAGTCCAGCCTATGATGCAGCCGGGTTGCTGCGGGAGGGTGGTAGTGGTGGTGCTGCTGGTGCTGCTGCTGCCGCCAGAGTCGGATGAGTTTGTGGTGGTGAGGGGCTCGGCGAGGAAGAGGCATGTTGTGCGGCGGCGGGCGGAGAAGGTTGATGCCGGTTTGAGGGACCAGAAGACTGTTTCTTCGGCGTATTCTCGTTGGCTTATCTATCGCGTGTGTCAGTTCCACAGTATTGAGGAGATGGGGTTTGCGTGGGCGAGAGCGTACCAGCCAGGCGTCAACGCCGTGTTTCTTGAGGAGAGCGGGGATGCCCGTCTTGCGCTCTTCGGTCCAGGCATCCTGGATGCCAGCTTGTTCGCGGAGAGGCGGGAGAGGGTTGTATTTCGGCGTTGGGTCGCTGGCGGCGTGTTGCCAGAAGATGGCGACAGCCGGTAGCAGCGGTACGAGCCAATGCATTGTGTACCTTATCTGACTTGTTCTGCGGATCTGTTGATCTCACGATAAGAGTCAAGTGAGGATGATTGAGGTTGAAGAGAGGGGTGGTGAGGTTAAAGATGGGATGGAGGATGTGAGATCGGATGACGTCCCGGGTGCCCCGTTTGAGGAATGCAGCTCTGAAGTTGAATCGCTTGAGTGCATTGCGATTGTCTAGTCCCGGAAAGGCAGCTCGATCATTACAGCCTTGATCCTACGCTGCATGGATGCTGATCCCCGCCTCGGTGAGTTTGTTCACCGAGGTCAGACAATACACGGCAAGCTGCATCGCGCCATGGAAGTAGGCGTAGGATTTAGCTTGGGGTGAGTGCCGGTATCGAGTCAATTTGTAACATTTCTGATGCGTGAGATCTGAATCGCCTTGCTGAATGCGAATAGCATTAGTGAAGGCATAAAACTCGGTCTAGGCCAGGGTTTCTTTTTCCATGATCACTCATCTGGTGGGAAGTCACACTCTTGTTCTTGGTGGGCTCTCTTATAAAACTTGATATTTCTTGCCAATATCCGATATGTTAAACTGCTGTTGAACAAAGGCTGCAAGGTGGGATGAGAGGGGAAATCGTCAAGGAAGACACGGGAGTGGGAAATGTTCTATATGATTCTCTAAATGGGTATTGGTATTGTACATGAAGATCGTCCGTCAAAATTCATAAAGCATCATAACGCTGTTGTTCCGTCCTTCCTCTAAAATTTGTACATGAAACACGTAGCTGTGGCACGAGATGCCTATTGAAGTAAACATGGACAAGAGAAGTGAAGATACAAGGGCAAAAGCCATGGTGATAGGATCTAGCAAAACACGTATTAGCCATTTGCATGACGAAGGAATCCAAGTAAGGCTATACTTACGTAGTTGTGCCCATGTTTCGGGCGTAGGTAAACCAAAAGCATCATTCTGTTGACAAGCTTCCTTCGAGAGAAACTAAAGATGCTTCTTGCAGCCGTAGCCTTTCGGATAGCCGGAGATGTCCGAGGATTGGCATCTTTGTGCATTGTAGTCTCGCAACCATTTGTCCCATTCATACTATACCTGCAACAGCCAAGCTGGCGAGGGCAACTATAGCGTATATCAAGCCGCTTTGCGAGAAATTGGATGCCCCAGATCCATTGTCACTGGCCGTGGACTGAGGACCACCGCCAGTCTGGGTGGGCGAAGGGCTTGGATCGTCGACATGGAGGGCATTTGTGCTGCCGGTCCATGCGTTCCAGTTAGTCATGCCGCTGGGGCACTCATCTGCGATCTTTCTTCCATCGATCTTGGCGATCTCGGTTCCGTACTTGGTCATGGTGATGACGACGTCGCCAGTGCCCAGGAAGGGAATGCTTCCGTGGTAGACGCCCTTGCCGCCGTCAGGGGTCGAGGTCCAGTTGCCCTTCTGCGCCTTGCCTCCGACGGAGACGATGACCTCTGCACCGGACGTGAGGAGAGCAGAGTAGAAGATCTTGTCCCGGACGACCTGGGCCGCCGTGAGAATCTCTTGGTCGTGGGCGACGGTGTTGGCCGTGGTGCCTCCGTCCTTGCAGGCGAGGGCCGGCGAGCCGCGGTACCAAGTCATGAGGGCTTCGTCTTTGATCGCAGGGGGCACAGCGGCTTTGTAGCTGTCGATGAGGTAGGGGAGGAAGTGCCGCCAGCCGTCGTGGGGGTGGTCGAGGGCGTAGTTGAAGGGGGCTTCGCCGACTTCGAACGCTTCCATGGCATTGGTGCGGACGGGGCCAATGTGGTGTGATTCACCATAGTCGTTCCAGGAGATGATTTGAACAAAGCTATTGATGGTCAATCGACATGAATCATGGAGAAGATAGGTAGTCATTGCAAGGTTGGCTTACGCAGGCATCACGTCCATCACCTGGTTCCAGCGGTCGTACCAGAGATCATCGCCTCGCCACACCCAGTTCTTGTTGTAGCCAGGGAGGTTGGTGTAGAACCAGGGGGAGACGGGCATCATGTAAGGCTTGCCTTTCAGGGCCCAGGCATACGCAGCATCACTCTTGTCAGTCATGTCCTTGTCGCCGACAGGCCACGCGTTCCAGCTGAAAAGTCCATCAGCAACACCGCCTCCTAGTGCCAGTGCGTCCTCGGGAGACACGGAGGACCAATCGGGAATGAAGAATGCTCCGGTCTGGTTCTTGATATCGATCCAATCCTCGGCATTCTCTGTGCCTTCAAAGGTCGAGGCGAGGGGCTTGTCGGCATACTTGAAGTACTCGTCGAGCTTGAAGTACTTCTCTGCCATGTCTAGAATAGTCTCCTTAGGCCAGGGCTTGCCCCCGTGGTAGCCGCCGTTGTAGTCGAAGGAGAAGAAGAGTTGGAATCCGACGTTCTTGGCGGCGACGAAGGCAGTCTCAAGGGACTGGTTGGTGTTGGGGTCCGTCAGGCCCATGTTGAGGGCGAAGGCATCGATGTGAGCGTCCTTGGCGATCTTAAAGTCATCTTCAAATTCGCTGAGAGTGAAATTCTTGGTGTTGATGAGCTGGTGAGGTCTGTTAGCAGCTGAGCTATGGAAGGATAGAATCCTAGCCTGACAGAGACGCCAGCATCAGAGGCGAACATACCATGAAGTGGGCAAAGACGGACGCCGCTTGTGCTTGGGTGACCGCAGCCAGGAGGACGGTGAGACAGGTGGTGAACTTCATCGTCACAGCGAGCAAGAACTTGCGTGGCACGCAGATCAGGTCGTCGAGGTCAAGTTTGATCGGCAGGGGAAGCAGAGTTTACAGATCTTGCAGGAGAGCCACAATGCTACATGGGAGAGATCAAAGGCCACGGCCGCTGCATTATGTATTGTGGCCTCCTTCACTTGAAGAGGGGGCCATGTCAGGTATGGCTCGCATATCTACCCATCATGTCGGTTTCTGCCTTGCGAACCGGCCAGGGCGACCGCGGTACCGCCCCTCTGGTGCTGTACGCCATTGTTCACGTTACCACCCCCGGCATGGCGACAACCTGAATCTATCGCGAGATAGGCAGGCAGGCCAACGGTAGGCGGTACATGCGGCTGGAACTACACGGCCTCAAACTCCCACCGTCAAATAGACGAGCAGGGGGGTCCCGCCCGTCTTGAACAGGGCTACGAAGGGCGTTTGCCTGATAGGGCTACATGAAAAGAGCAGGGGGTGAGTGCTTTGTGAGACGCCGTTGGATGTGTGTATGAACAAGTGGGCTGTATGGACATCGGTCCCCAACGTCTAGAGTGGTTTCTCTATCTGCTGTGCCATTTTGTGCCTGCTGTGCCGCTGAACGACGGCGCGAAGAGATGCAGCGGGCCAAGACTGATGATTTGGACGAGGCCGCTTTTGCCGTGGGAAATTGCCTCGCCCGATTCTGCTTACTCTGCATCGTGAGTGCGATGAGTCCGAATTGTTCATGCTGGCGGTGAGGGAAATAGCTCTCACGCGGCGTTTGATGTGAGGACGTGAGTAAGAAGGTGGCTGTAAAAGCTCGTGTATGTCCGTGAACTTGGCGCGATATGCTATACAAAGTGAAGCCCATCGAAAGCTTCTATTCCTTGTGTTGATCGGATACGAAGTCGGGAGAGATCGACGGCGAAACACGACCCGGGAAACATTTCTGGAGACTGAAGGAAGTAGATCTGCCCAGCGGTACGGTGTTTCGGGATCCTCTGGGCCTCTGGTCCTCCCTCTCCAAGCACCCATCTTTCCAACTTGGCTTTTTCCTTGAACCCTGTAAAGTTGCTCGCCCGACACCTTAAGCTTGTTGAGCCCGCCTAGGGTCCTTTGAGACCTATCATCCGGAGACTGCCGCGTAGCCGGACGTTATGCCGGATCCTACACTAGCGGCTTTCCGCTCACCCATCAAGACACTCACGATCCCTGTCGTCTGACGGCCTACACGTGCGGAATCGGCCGAGTGGCCCCTTGTCCGTCACATTGAACCGCTCGCCGATTGACTGAGTAGACAGTCTAGCAGCGATCTGCCTAACCCAACCTGCAGCTGTGCCTCTAGATTTAAGATTAAGTAAGCAAACACTACGGTTGCTCAGAGGAAAGGTTCCGCTACCCAGGTGAGTCTAAAGAACCGTGCATCGTCGGATATCTGACGTCCAGGGCAAGGGTCTATATCGGCAGCAAGGGTTCCGTGATGAAAACACATATCTGCCCACTATTCCTAGGCAGCACCGGGCAATATTGAGGCCTGTGAGTCTTCGAGAGGCATGGCGTGGGGGGTCGCCGTTGCTTAGCCATCCTTTGCAAAGCTTGGCTCTAGTCCACCTTCGTGTCGTCCGTGGGCTCGTAGTCGCAGCCAACCACACCGTTGAGACCCGATCGAAACGTCAAAAGAGTAAGGAGCGTGCATACTCGAGAGGAAACCAGCCTTGTGGGGGGCTTCCTTCGACGTTGAGAACGAGAAGATGTGTACGAATGCCGGAGCCGGCACGTCATCGGCGGTGGGCTAGTTGACGAGTGTGTATCGGAATCCCGCCAAATCGCATACACGGAGTGCCGTTTAGTGGCTCTCGTGGCAGCTGTCAGGCTATTTCAGATCAGCAAAGACGGATAACCGGCGGCTTGGATACGGTTTGCATTGGGCTGACGAGACCAAAAAACCCCATCTGGGCGTCGCGCTGGTCTCAGAAAACGTGCGCTCTCGCCGGCCAATCGTCCGGATTCCCTCCGAGCTCGTCGTGACAGGGGTTTCTTGCTGGACAAGTCGCACTTCGCACTTTGACCAACCACACCAACGCTGACATGGATTATTATATCGCTTGGGCTGTCACAAGATACTCGACCTCCTCGGTTGTTCATTACCCCGGGGATAATCATAGACGCCAAGAGAGGGAAAGGATAAGCGACCGCATGAGTCTATGGATACAAGGGAAAATTAAGTGAAGAAAAATGAGGCCAAAAGAGCAAAGCAGAGAGGGAAAAAGACCATGTTCCAACAGCATGATCGAGAACCTTAAGCCACCCTGGTCCCTGCCCCCTGTCCCCTGTCCGAACCCACGGTGCTAGACCCTTTGAAGTTGAGTTGCAGCGATTTGCAGTGACTTCAGAGCCACCGATTCGGCCCGCTCTCCTGCGTCTCTAACCAGAGTGCCAGAGAGCGATAGTCGTTCGCCAGTCGATTCCCAGCCGCTCCTGTTGGTGTCTGTCGCAGCAAACGCGCACAAGGGCGGAGTCTCGGCTGACAGCTCCGGGTATCCTCTTCAGCCAAACTCAGCTCAACCGTCACGTTATCACTTCAACGGACGTATTTCTTTCCACGATGCGCCTGATTCCTTGCAACTGAAGATTTGTAAAACCATGGTGTCTGTGCTCTTCGACTTCGACAGTGAAAAATTGAAGAAAGCACGTCAAAGCTCATCTCGATTGGATCGTTGGCAATTTATCTACACTGAGACTCCATGTCACTAGACTTGCTAATAAGACATCACATCACGACTTTTGGTTTAAAGTCTAAAGTCTTGATTCTCTCCTTTTACCTCGGCAATAGAAACGTCGGCAACTAACCAACATCGTGTTCTTCCATCTTCCAGTCGCATCCCCTTAAGTGATACCTGGCCGCCTGAACTGTATGTCTTTGAGCTAGAAATTGGTCCCATCATAACCAGTTCCATCACCACGACCACTTCCAGCGCGGTTAGTGGTGACATCTGGTTGAGGAATCACCTCATCAGCGTATATTGGGAGATCCGTAGGGTTGCTAGGAATCGTCACCTCGTTCGTGACGACACTGATCAAGAGGTTGTTGAGGTTGCTCCTAGACTGGAGATCACCACCGGGCAACGTGACACGCCAGTGAAGTTGTTTCTGCAGATATGGAATGACATGCTGCGGTGCGAGACTGTCGATGAGGCCGGCAACGTAACGCTCGACTAGAGCGAGGGTGAGAGGGACCTGACCGGTGATCCTCTGCCCTGAAGCACGCCCCTGTTGGCAATTCTTACACGAGGTGGTTTCGTCTTGGCCGAAGGTGGCAAAGGCACCGACATGAGAGTGATTGGTGGCATACAGCAAGGGAACTGAGTCGTCGGGGTTGCCCAGGAACACATGAACGACGTAATTGCCTCCGAGTTCGGCCTTTTCGGCCTTGATGTTGACCAGCCATTCAAGGTACTTTTTCTCGGTACCGATCAAGCTCTTCAGGTCACGATCCTCAGGGAGGTTGAAATCGTCAGACTCATTGGTGTCCTGAATGGGTTTTTGCTCATTCTGTTCCGCAGCCAGCGAGAAGGCTGTGGCGGTGACCGGAGAGTTCACCGCCTTCAAATGTGCCTTGGCACGACTCTTGAACACCTCGGTGGAGGATTTGAGGTCTTCGTCGCCACTTCTCAAGACGTTGGCAAAAGAGGCAGTCTTGCCATACACACGGTCCAACTCGTTGAGGATGGACTCTTTGGTGGGAAACTTCCATGACTGAGTCTCCGGATAGACATAGCCGAACTCGGTGGTGTATCTGACACCCTCGGATGTCCAGAAGACTTGGTTGTCTTTGGTGCCAGACTGAGCAAACGGAGCCAACGGAGTTTTGCTCGTCTCAGGATCACCGGCTTTGACGATGAAGTTACCCCAACTATCACTCGCGCGTTGGTCAGTCACATAGGTTGATGGATCGTTGGGGTTGTCATGGCAAGCTTGCCAGATGGCGAACAGCCGGTCGACATTGGTGTGATGGAGCCAGAAGATCGGGTCAAACGCGGCAATTGCTGGGTTTCCCATGTGCCCACTGCCCCCAGAATAGGTGTGGATAGCATTATGAATGTCTTCAATGCTACCCCATTCGGCGAAATTGGGCTGGCCCGGTTGCTTCGGTGGGTTGAATCGATTGTGGGACGCAGATCCAAAGTCACGATACGACTGAAGGATGAAAATAACACGCTCCGTAAGATTCTTGCCTCTTGAAGCCTGTTGAGGGTCGGTTCCAGAAAAGAATTGTGTCAGTCTCTGGATCATCCTATTGTTGTTAGGCTGGTCTGGGTAGCGGATGGTGCCTCCGACCCTCGGGAACTAAGAGCGCCGATCAGCATGACGCAGACATAGTGATGGGCTAAAGATAAAACTACCTGGTTGATGCTCGTATTCGTGCGCGACTCTCGAAACTTGTAGGTTGCCAGTGGGTTTGGATCGATACGAGAATCCTTCTGGTTATTATGGGGACGCTTGACTTGTACCCTAGCTTGGGATGTAGCCTCTGCTGGAAAGACTCCAAGGTCAGGTCGAGCCCAGTCCCAGTATGGCATTCTGAAGTCTTTGGCCGCCTTCACATAGTCGCTCCTGCGCTCGCTCTCTTCAAATTCGTTGGCGACAGCATTGACATGCTTGTATAGTTCCGCCTGAGCCCTGTCAGAAAATAGTGTCTTATGTCATATTGAGCGAATGGTAAAACTTACCTCGAAGAGAGCAAGATATGGACGGTGCCAGGTAAGAAAGAGAATCGAGCTGTGAGTGCAGAATCCGCCGAAATTGTTGTCGACTCTGACCATCTTGTTGTTCCAGTCCCTGTCTGGCCATTTCTTGTAGGGAAGCCCATGGATACCTGCTGGCGTCAGAGCCTTATGGCGAAAGTTTCCAACTATTGTACTTGCCAGCAATCTCGAAGAAAGAGAGAGGCGAGTCCTCCTTCACCGAGTTTTGGAACCTCTCCAACCCCAAGAGATATAGGTTCCACTGATCAGGGTGGTCCTTCATCATGTCACGTACTTCCATGCGCACAGGAGGTCTAGCTATTCGACGTAAGCTATATATTAGAGGAGCGAAATTTGCCAGTTGACAGAAAACACACCTGGGTTGTCCGCCTTGATTCCGTGGACAAGCACGGGTCCCTGAGTGCCATCTGAAGACATGTTGAAAGTGAGTGAATTTGATGATTGGTGCTTCTAGGTATGAGGTACGGTAGTACAGATAATTCAGAACTGAATGAGTAGTAGACACGTAGACTATGCCTTATATACCTTGGCTATTCCTCCGAAAAGTCATAAACGCTCCAACGCAAGACTATGAACTCTTTGCCAAGTTTGAGGCAGACCTGCTGCCTGCTGACTGCTCTTAAGATTCGTAATGGTGGCGCAAATCAACATCAGATATCTCTTGTTCGGGAAAGAAGTCGGTATGACAGAGTAAGCACGGGGCGCTCAGCCAGCCATGGCGTCTCAGCTGCTCTCAGTTTTGCGGTGATGAACCAATGGCAGACTTACTGGAATACTCACCCAAATGACGGATGGGTACGATAGGCTACCTTCTGAAACATCAAGCCACCGTTTTTCTTGACTAGATGCTTACCTTGGGCTCAGATTAGGTGACGAGTTGTTCGCCGAGTACATCCTGCTGATGTCTAGGTCAAGAATCATTGTTTTGAGGGTGTAAGCAAAGGCTGCATGCATAGAAATCAAGTGAGGTTTCATCTTTTATGGCTTGAAACTTCCGATGACAAGAATCATAGATGGCTCTGATGATATTCTCCTTGATTTTCAAGCTCATTTCCGTCCCTTTTTCTTATTTACGCTTAGGCCTTGAGGGACATGGTTGAAGAAAAAAACTGTTAGACGCAATCAAGTGTGAGATACTCTCAAAAGTGTTATCAAGGCTAGTTTTCCTACTTCCGTAATCTGTCTCTGTGTGTGTTGCAGTGTCATCACTCGGGACTTGATCGACTCGGATTTGCTGCCACAACGCACATGTATTGACGGGTTTCAATTGTACGAGTCAGGAACCAACTTGTTCAGAAAATGAGGATGACTCTATGTAAGGAATGTTCTGAGAAGTATGAAAATGACACTGAGGTTCCTGCATGTATAGGTACAGAAGCATTCTCAACATTCCAAACCTTCGTTTGTTCTAGGATGTCCGATAACCATAAATCAGGCGAATCAAAAAGCAGAAGAAAAAAACAAGGCACAGAATTGAGAGACGGGGCGAGTAGGCCAGTCCGATTATTTCCCCATGCAGCTGCCAGCATTGGGGTCAGACCTATGAGATGATCAGTAAGGGATCGTATGAAATTATGGGGTTATTGTGAACTTTGGGATGACTGGGAATATCTTGGGTCAAAAGGAACGTACGCGTATTCCCAATTCCAATACTTAGTCCTTCCTCCTCTCCAACAATTATAAGCCTCCTTCGACAGCCCAGACATGCACTCGGCTTGTCCTAGAACTCGTCCGCCACTGTTCAAGTTCTATAAATACCTGTCAGGACATCTCCTTCGTATCAAGAAGCAGAAGACGCGAGGTCCACGCTACAAAGCGTCGTTACGTATCATACCTTGATGGAAAAGTCCCACTTCAAGCCACTCTTCTCTTGCATGCAGAATGTTCGACTTTCATGGCCAACGAAAGCCTCTTTAGCTGCACCGACTATGGCCAGGCAGACCAGAGAAAGACGGTCCGAATTGACAGCTGAGATCTTCTCACTGAGCCATTTGCCATAATTGGCCGTCATGCCATTGTCGAAGCAGTCGGCGTTGACACCGGAGCCGGCAATGGCCAAAACGGCAAGGAAAGCAGTGGGCTTCATATTGATGAAAGTGAAGTTGCTGAATTGAGTGTGATAACGTTTTGCTCGATGAGTTGAGTGGATGAGAGACACATTGACAAAGGACGATGGGACTTGACATAGGATAAGGACTTAAATAGATATGAGCGCTGCCTACATATACCCAACTTGATACAAGATGGGTCTGAAGGTCATGGGATAGCTGTCGCACCTTTACAGCTCCTCTTGATTTCTGGGAGATAACTGCGCCATCCGAGAGCGACCATCACAAATGCTAAACAAACTTGAAGATGCAAAGGTGTTTGCTGCCTCGATCTCATAGTGCGTGCGGAGTTGGCGACATTGACCAAGGCTGATGTCTGTGGCATTGGACCTCTGCTGGCTCGAAGCGTCTTTGCTATGATTGTCGATCTCGTGATAAGCTGAGTTGGCAAACATACACAAAACCCACAGCAAACCAACCGTACCCAAATTAGGACAGAAGGTTGACCAAGCAAACAAAAAATTGTTGACCTCTCTTTGTCTACAAGTTTCATCGCCTACACATGAGTCTGTATTTCTGCCTGCGCTCATGGCGAGTTCTGTCCTCGCCCGTTTGCCTCGGCTGCTTGATATTAGATGATATTCCTTATTGTTTGTTGCGACTCTTCGGTGAAGTAATATTTGCTCATCAGTCAATCTGGCTCGTCTCGGCATCGGCGTCGAAAAATCAATGCCCAGTTCGCAAGCGGCAGGCTCAAGCCGACGTGCGGTTTGAGAAAGTGAGGGTTCCTTCTGCAATGCAAACGGGCTCTGGTAAGACTACCCGCCGTGCCACAAACAATGCTAGAATACAGGCTTTTGTTACGATCCCCCAGACTCGGAAACTCAAGATTAAGTTTGTGTCACTGCGTTAGACGTGATACAAGTCAATCTCAGAGAGGCAAGGACACGGACGAACACGCCATGGTCATCAACCCCAGCATTTGCCAGACTCTTTCAACCTAAGACGACATGATGCGTATGCGAGCAAACAACGTCGTTTGGTTTTTGACTTCATATCTCATGACTCTCATATGTCGTTGCAAAATGACGCTCCTAAGTGTTTCGCTCGCTCGAACGGGAAGGGAACCTGTGGTTCATGGTCACACGTACGAAGGTGCATGCCTGGAAACCAAATACCCGAATTGGGAATGTGAGGAATCGGTATCCGATCGGTTATACCTTAGCCAGCAGAAACATGCCGACTGGAGCACCTCGAACTAAAAAAGAAATCATCTGAGCTACGACATCAGTAGTGAAACCTCGACTATATAATGAACACAGATTCCCAACGACCCTGAGGCAGTGTCACATCAGAACTGCACCACCATCTGCCTCATCACCTGTATCACCCAACTTCTTCAAGAGAATCCAAGATGCATTTCTTCAAGATTTTCATTTACAATGGCTTGTGCCTTTCCCTGGCACTAGCAGGTGTCATCGACGACCGCAGCTCCCGGAGTGTCACCGGTGATACCGAGGACCAGGAACTGAAAAGAACCGTTCCTGAACTAGTCATCACTACCCCAGATAGCAACGAAAGGCTGCCTGACTCGACCGACAACACCGAAAGAGCCAGTCTCGAAATTGTCGCTGCCAGATACGAAGACACGCAAGGTGGCAACTCAAACTCGCCACGTGACGCTCATCCACAGTAAGTACATACAGGAACTGGAAGAAGCTGCTGATAGCTCCAATGTAGACTTTGCCTTGGACTCCGAATTGCTGACTCACTCTTTTCCCTGCGCTCCCTAGAATGACGGACGTCGAGATCCGTGAAGCTGCCCTCAACCTCACCGAAAGGGATGATCCTAAACAAATGTCTGACGGTCTTGCGAATTGCGTAAGTGGTACCCTATTCCCGTATTCTACCAAGGACGCAGCTATAGCACGGCTACTTCTCATTGGACCTTGGTCGCCTCTGTCCTCGGGTGAAGTTGTTCATGAAACATGACTTTCCCTTTGATGCTAACAAAGGCAATTCACAGGTCAGCTGCGTGTGGGTGTGCAAAACCGCCGCCACGAATATACTATTACCTGAAGCAAAGCTGTTCCACATGTGAGCCATGTTCAACATACATCTACGTTCGACCATATATGGGGATATAGGACTGACGCAACTTCAGTTGCTTCTGGACCAAATGTTTCGCAGGGGGTTCTTGTGAGAAGCAACTGTTGTCATGGGCCGAATGGTTTGGCCAACAGAAATTTCCTAGCGAAGCTCAATTCGCGCAGGCGTGGAGCCAGATGTGGCGTCCTATGTATGACAAGATTGAGCTGAAGGGGACTGAAGAGGAATAGTACTTCACAAGAGTATTGTTCTCATCCAGAGCGTTAGGTTGGCTACGTGAGCCCTGTAATGTCACGTTGCGCAGAACTGTCGAATTGGCTTTCGGGCAAGGCAGTTGAAGGGAGCCGATGTCCTGGCGCTAAAACGCTGCAGTGGGATTGGCATATACGGAAATAGTTTTCTGGGGTTTTGTTTGCAAGTGGTCAAGGATTATTCTAGCTTCCGTTTCGTTGAGAGGAGTAGTATTTGCAATCGGTCATAGTCTCAATTTGGATATTTACATGCCTGCGGCTGCGAGGCCATGATTGCTGTTGTTTCACTTTGGATGTTAGATAATGTCTTGAATGTTATGCCTCAGTAGAAATGGCATAATCATGTCATTAATATATACGTTAGGTCCTAACACCCATTTCGAAGCTACAGGAATGTGACGATACGATAGGGAGGCTCAACTCAAGACGAACTAGGTGATTTTAATTTGAGGCTTCTGGATTCACTCAAGGCCCCGAAGGAAACGGGACTTTTGCCTCTACAAGTAGACCTTCTCTTGGTTATCTACCTAAGCTCGCAGAAAGCCCATGCATGTATCTTATGTATACGTAGTCCTATTTTTGTGCAGTCACTTACCGGCCAGACAGTGGACATAATGTCACCTGCCTTACGGAGTATCCTGCTATTATTTATCACACGTGGCTCCCTCGTGGATTTAGGCGCGCTCATCAATCATCATGGAATCAATGGCATGAATCGCCTACAAATGGCGGCAAGGCAAGAGAACCTGGCCCTCAATCGAATCTTGCTTGACTCTGGAGCAGACATCAATCTTCCAGCACATGACGAAGGTGGTCGCATAGCTCTGCAGGCTGCTGTCGAGCACGATCAATTTAGACGATGAAAGTAACTCGGAAGTTGCAGCTTTTTTGCGTGATCATGACGCGTTGTCTGCTTTTCTCTATCGAGACTGTGATGAGTTTGCAGCGGAGAGCGTTGTTGATCTTCGTTTGCCATCTCCAGGATTCGTCTTCATTGAAGAGGTCTCGGGAGATTCGAATTTCCAGTTCTAGCCTCTAGGTCAGAGTATCTTCCAGACGTAGTTTGTAGTCATTGCCAGAGCATTGCTAGAGCAACTCAGAGTTGCGCCTTGGCTACGGAACTAATGAAGTGATGATCTGACTTCAATCGGTGTGTTGAGGTTGACTCTAAAATCCTCTCAGTAAGAAGTAACGATAGTCATCTGATGATAATAGGCCCACTGATGCTCTCGAGACTGTCGACACATTCTCGACGACGTCGTCAATTGCCGTCGGGAGCGGGTGGAGGTGGGTCGCTAACTGAGACGGGTGATGACGACGCCTGTCTTCTTTGCGGTGGGTGACCTTGTCCTGGCTTTCGGAATGTTGAAATCGCCGGCATTGTGGTCGAGTCGACGTTGTCACGAAAGGGTGTAAGCCCATCCGCGATGATCATGAAACCTGTTTCTTTATGCCGACGCTCTGGTAAATATGACCCCGGGAGGGTGGGTTTCTGACCTCATGGTCATGTAGGTTACCCGCTTAAGGGCGAAGGGAAGGGCATCAATCGGGAAGAGTATTGGCTGCAGGGCAAGGAGGCATTAACGAAGGGGACCAAGGGAGGCATCGACCAGCAAAAAGTGGCGTCGAGGGCGTGACTGAAGAAAGTGAGGGCAATGTCTCGGGTTTCGTAAAGCATGGCGATGGAGCTCATGTGTCAGTTTGTCGTGCGACGTGCATTCGCAACGGGTTGTGGGCGGCATTCGTGAAAACTAACGATAAGGTGACGAGGCCATGTTCAGTCGGCCCATACTGCTGCGTAATCATAGACATTCAGTGTAGATAAAATGAAGTTCACTGTTCTCAGCTGAGGACTCGTCAGGCTTGCATTTGACGCGAGGGATGATCCAGGCACGATGGGCTTCAATCAATATCTACCATCACCACCATCACCCCTGACGCAAGCCACGCGAGAAAAGACGATGGCTATTATGTGGGGTTCACCCGCTGCTGTGGGATATACGTGTTTCGAAACATTTTCTGGGGAATGCTGGGAACGTGTGTGGGTAACCTCGAAACAGAGTTCGGATGGAAAGAAAAGATCTACCTTGACAGAGACCCATTTGCGCGGCGTCATGGGATACGCGCCCCGTCCGGCGAGGGGCATCCGAGAGAGACGGGTATCACGCAATCTGCAACTCGATTAACGTTTTGGGAGTAAAGACTTGCGGCTCAATTTCACAACAACCCTTCTGCAGGGTCCATCGACATGGGCCTGAAGCAAGAGAAATCGATGAAGAAAAGAAGTAATGGGTAAGGCTAGGGATAAGCAATAAATGCTCAGTTGCCCTTTCGAAGACTCAATCGTGTAAAACATGGCTTATGAATAAGTAAATGAGGCTGGCCAGAGACATGTCATCCGGAATAGACGAATCCATCTTATCACCACGGCCGTCATGTCTCATTCAACGAGCGCCCCGTCTCATCCATCGCCCATGGTCATCGCCCAGCTGTCAAATTTGATGACACTTCAATACTTGTGAGCGTTCACAAACTCATCAGACAGTGCTTTGCGAAGTAAGGACGAATTAGTCTTAATTATTACACATGAATGTGAATATCATAACAGTAACAGACTATGCCAGTCGAAGCTGGTCGTCATGTCTCCCATCAAATCGGTCATAACCCATTTTTCCTTCATAACAGATCGTACTCCAAACCACCAGACCGTTCAATTGTCGTTCCTTTCACAAGACTCATTGTGTTGGAAAGAGGCAAAGAGGCGATGAAGACCGTGAGCACGGCCCCGAACAGATAGAATGAATGACCAAGTCCATTGAATTCGTAATCGAGGGGATCTCTGCGAGATCCAAAGGAGACGGCGGCGATGGCCGTTTCTTCCTGTACAAGCTCGACTGGGGCATCCTCCCACAGTCTCGTGCTCTTTTCCTTCCTCTACATTGAGCCTCGAGAGAATAAACGAATGGTCTTTCTCATCTCCTCAATCCTTCCATCTTCACGCCGAACGAGACGCTTACAAGTCTATGACACATTAGCATATTGTATCCGCCTACGAGCTGGAGTATAGCGCAAGAACTCACCCTCGCAGTAGTCGACAGTGGTGGTGACGGTGACGGTGGGCTTGGGCGCGGTAGTGGTGACAGCGGTGATGCCCCAGCAGTTGCAGGCGGAGGAGTAGGCAGCAGCGTCACCGCATGAGGAGGCGTAGGCGGGGATGAGGGTGGGGAGAGCGGTAACCTGGCGGTTGGCGATCTCGCCGTTGCGGCGGAGACGAGCGGGAGCGGCGGTGACGGTAACGGTGACGGTGCTGGATGAAACGAATTAGTCTACAATGCATCACCAAGCGGCTCTGCTGATTGAGAGGTTGACATACGTAGGAGAGGGGGTGACGGTGGCCTGCATGAAGGAAGAGCAGTCGGCCTGGCGGGAGGTGATGGGGAGGAGGCCGTCACGGGTACCGGTGACCTGACGGTTGCAGTTGTTGCCGGCGCAGGCGCGCTTCTCGACAACGGAGCCGAGAGCCAAGCTGACGAGGGAGAAGATGACGGCGGCCTTCATTTTGACGGTTGGAGGAGACGATCGACTGAGGTCCTAAGAGATGGATGGGAGTTGATTGGATGGATCTGGTAGGAAGTCGGTGGATGAGGAAAGGGGAAAGGAAAAAGGGAACGGTTACATGGAGACGAAGGCACTGTGATATATATTCGCGAGATGCGGGATGGGACCTTGACTTGGTTGAAACTTGGTGGTGGACGGGTTCGAGTTGGACTGGGGGAACCGGGTCCCATGCTCCTCGTAGACGGGGACTAACAGAACCGGGACGCAGAAGCGAACAAGTTTGGTACAGCAAATAGCCAGCCAGCCGGCCGGTTCAATACGAACCGCAGCAGCCACAAGTGTAGCGGAGTTCACCCGCCCATTCTGAGCAGCGCCCAGAAGAGGCGGCGATAGGAAGGGCGGGTCATCGACCGGGACCTGGGATGAACCAACAGGGGTGGTAGGGTGGTTGTTCAAAGAGCCACGGGCAGCACGCATCGTGGGTTTACCAAAGAGACATATTGGGGAACTAGGCTCCCCCGGTACAGTGACACCCTGTTCCTGAGGACTAGACAGGACCAGGGGTCGAAAGAGGGGGAGCCTGTAGGGAAACATGGAAAAGCGAGGAAGAAGCGAACCGCAGTAGCTCCAGCCCGTTCAGCCCATCTCCTGGCGAGGGTTGCATTTCCCACCTATCAGCAGGCGGGACGTCCGCATGAGGCAGGTTGGGAGAACGTGTGGGCAGGCGGCGAACAGCAGGAACATGAGAAGATGCGCATCGTAGGCGTGGCGTACGAAGTAGCGCAGTGTATCTGTAGGAAAGGTTGGCCCGCGAGGAGGGGCCGAGACTGAGCTACAGGTACCTTTTAGCTGACAAGTATGGCCAAGAGTGACATTTGATCTCAAGGCTTAGGTACTAGCATCCCGATGAGAAACAAAACGCGTGTGTTCTTCTCCGCCCTCGCGGGAACCTCAAGATTGATTTTCCACGCCCCCTTGCCCGCGCTATCACGGCGGGGGAAGCTGGTCTGATTCGGCCTAGCCCTGTATTGACGTCGGGAATTCCTGGAGAGCCGATGGATGCTCAGGGACGACGCTGGTTGCTTCGCCGAGACACAGAGGGCGAGGGTCACATTCTGGTTTGACTTCGCGGCCGGATACAAGGGCGGTTACCTGGGGAGGTATGTTGGGCAAACGGCTTGTTTCTCCTGGACGCTATCGAAATCTGCAAAACGCGCGGCTTAGCTGATGGGCAACTATGGCCGACTTGCAATTGGCAGTGGCACAGCGAGAGTCAGATTGTGGCTGTTGTCTCTGCTATTCTGGTGTCGTAGAAGAATTCATGGCGTTCTCAGCTGCGTCCTGGATCTGGGTTGGTGTTGAGCAGTCGACGGAAGCACCAAGTTCAGAGGCGATTGGCAGAGAGACGCCGAGGTATGACGGTACGGAAAGGGAATCCGTTCAAGCGTAAGCTTGACTGTGGGCTGTACGACTACGAAGTACGATGACTGCAGGCAAACACAAGAGAAAGCCGGTCAATGGTCGGGCTGTGGTAACTTCGAACTTCTTGGTCTGCCAGTGCCGGGGAAGCTGACCAGAATCCTGGGATCGCAGAAGCAACACGCTGTTGGAGGCATTCTTAATTACCCGTCAACATCTTATCCTAGTAGCATTTTGATAAGTAAAATGTTGTATTGGTTGCTGTGCCTCAGTTCAATACCGTCTCGGAGTCGGCTG